AGCATGTGTGCGACGGTGAGGGGTTGTGTATGAAAATGAGCAAAGGGGGACTGAATTAAAAACGGGGTCTGAATTGAAAAGCATTGCGAGCATCTCACCTGGCGGGGCCTGGAGTGGCATCTCACCTGGCGGGGCCTGGAGTGGCATCTCACCTGGCGGGGCCTGGAGTGGCATCTCACCTGGCGGGGCCTGGAGTGGCATCTCACCTGGAGGGGCCTGGAGTGGCATCTCACCTGGCGGGGCCTGGAGTGGCATCTGGCGCATCCCAATCCGCTGCCTTGGGTTTCCTGCCAGCAGCAACGGCGACAACACAAGCAGCCCAACACGGGGTTGAACGATTCGGAGACAAGAATGTCAAGGCACACGCATACATACATCAGCGTGGCAGTGCAGAGAAGGCCAAGTGAACAAGACAGGCGCGGGGGCAGCAAAGGAGCGAAGAAGATACAGAGGGATGCAGATGAGTGAGCACAACAACCACACTCCCAAACACACACCGTCACAACCCACCCACCCACCCACCCACTCACCCAACCACCAACCCGCCCATCGACCCATCCACCAACCTCCCTTCCCTACCAACCCTTCACCAAACACCACACTCACTTGGCCTCAACCTCTGCAGCACTGGCACCTCCGCCTCCCGCCACGTCCCACCGATTCCTCCTCTTGCTCCCCGCAGCAGCAGCACCCGGAGCCACACCAACAGCGGCAGCAGCAGCAGGGGGAGCAGCAGCAGCAGCAGCAGCAGGCCCTGGGCCTTGGTGGGCGCGGAGGAGAGCTCGGCTGCCTTCCTCTCCGCCTCCTCTGCTTTCTTCTTGGCGATCTGCCTCAGCGTCTCCTCCTTCTCGCGCTTCAACGCCTCCTCCTTTATCACGTCTGCGTACGTGCGCACTGCTGCGTCTGGTGTGGCATCGCCCTGGTGGATGGGGTACGGGCGAGGAGAGGGAGAGACGCACACACAGAGACACATACATGCAGCATGTTTGTTGGCGCCCCACCATCTCCTTCTCGCGCTTCAGCGCCTCCTCCTTTATCACGTCCGCATATGTCCGCACTGCTGAGTCGGGCGTGGCGTTTCCCCGAAACAAGGGAAGAGGGAGAGGAGAGAGAGAAAGCGAACGAGAGCGACGTGCATGCATGCAGCAACGTTTTAGGCACCTTGCGACCTCGCCTCCTATCACTTCAGCGCCTCCTATCACTTCAGCGCCTCTTATCACTTCAGCGCCCCCTCCCTTGCGCACATTGGCCTCCACAGCATTCCACAGCAACGGACATAACAATCTAGACACTTCAAGATCCCATCAGTCCCATGTCAGCTTCATACGCACCACACCATTGCACCCGGGCTACATGATTGAGAACGGGCCGTACATACTTACATACCATGGCAAAGGCGTCGTGGCGATCAGGGGAGATGATTCGGTGGAGGCGGCGGCGCCGATAGTCGTCCTCCCTGTCGATGATGCGCGACGGCTTCTTGAACCCCGCCGCCTGGTGAGGGGGAGAAAAGGGGGGTTTGGGGGGGGGGGAGGAACAGAAGGAGGGACGGAGAGTGGGGCATGAACAAGGTTACAAGAGGCAGCGGCGCTGGCAGTCATCCTCACTGACTATGATGCGCGATGGCTTCTTGCTTGAACCCCACCGGCTGGGGGGAAGAAGGGGGGAGGGGGGAGAGAGGGTAAGTGGGGGTTGCCAATTGCTCAGAAATCAGCTGGTTACATTGTCACACACGCAACATGATGTGTGATGGTTCCTTCAGCCATGCAACCTGGAGAGGGAGCAGAGAGGGAGAGTGGGAGGCAGAGAGGTGGAGAGGTGGAGAGGTGGAGAGGGAGTGGGACATGAACACGAGGAGGCGAGGGCGATTGGAAGAGGCAGCGTGGGAAGGGAAGTATGGGACGGAAGGGTATACCTTCATTCCTACACGACACAGCAGCACGCCTGCCCCATTTGGCCCAACTATCTAACAGCTTCTCCCACTCTCCCGCTACCCGCAGAGCCTACCATTTCCTCAGCCTTCTTCCTCCCACCTTTCTCCCTCCCTCTCCTCTTCCCCCTCACTTCCCCCCTCCTTTCTCCCTCGTCCCTCCTCACATCGTTACCTCTGACTAACCTCCCTACAGCTTTATTTCCACCCCCCCCTTCTCATGTCTCAACAATATCTCTGCCTCCCTCCCGTCCCCCTTCGCTCCCCCCCACCCACCCACCTCACGTTCCCCTTTCCCCCACCCCGTTCCCCCCCCCCCCCCGCATCACCCCCCTCCCCACCCTCCGCTCACCTCTTCCTCCGCCTCCCCGCGCGGCAGCTCGTGCAGCAGCTCCTTGGGCGCCGTGTACGACGCCAGCTTCCTGGCGAGGGGAGAGAGAGATAGAGAGAGGCGGGAGAGTGAGAGGGGAGAGTCAGAGAGGGGAGAGTGAGAGAGCGCAAGGGGCGAGGTGAGTCAGCGTCGCAGATGCATGCACCTCACCAAGTGCAGTGCAGCAGCTCCTTGCCTTGGGCGCCGTGTAGAACGCCAGCTTCCTGAAGGGGAGCGAAGGGGGGAAGGAACACAGAGAGTAGAAGAATCCGTCAAAACTAGAGAAAAGAAATGCCACAGTCAGTACCATCCACGAGTAGTCGCTCGTGCAGAAGCTCCTTGGGCGCTGTGTGCCGTGGATGGTAACCGCTTAAAGACAACATAGCGGGGTAAAGAAAGGGTATAAAGAAGTAGGCGAGGGCCGAAACGGATTATATCCAGGGGAAGAAGTATGCGCTCCTTAGGAGCAGAATAAGCGGCAGAGGGTAAAGTCGGCGCAAAGGAAATGAGAGGTACGATAAGGTTGGTGAATGGCAATCCTGCTGGCTTCATGACGCGTCGGCTAAGCAAGAGCGAAATTTCTCAGAAATCAGGAAAATCAATGACTTGTACAAGAAATGTCCGCGCAGCGGAGGAGAGATTGGGAGATTGCGGAATCTAAGGAACGAAACGCTGAGAATGCGGCTCTTGGAAAAGAAACGCGGAGCTTGAAACGGGACTTGGTTGGTTCCGCACGTCCAACGGCGGGAGGCGGGAACGGTCACGTATGAGAACAGGCAGCCATGCAGCTCAAAGAATGACCAAGGACGACGATATGCTCGAAGAAAAGGGGACGACGCCGGCTACAGACGGAAACGGAACCAATGAATGGTGCTCCGATAATTTTGGAAAAAAATCGAAAGTTTAAACAGGAAAGTATGGCGCCTCTCCGTGTCTAAACACTCTCAAGTGGAATCCCACCTGGCGACTTCCCGCTCCGTGGCGTCCTGCTCCTCCTCGTCCTCCATGACGGGAATCGACATCTCGTAGCCGGCGAATCGATCCTTGTCGCCGCCGCCGTACAAATCCTTGTCGAAGCTCACCGACGCCAGCGCCGCGAGCTCCTGCTCCTTGGCGCGCCGCTCCTCCTGCATGCGCGCGATCTCGTCCTCCGTCGCGTCCATCGCGGCGATATCCGCGGGTTGATTTGGTTAAATTTGAAAAGGCGAAAGAGCTGAGATTTGCGAAGTGGAGTATTGTTTCGATCTGACAGCGTCTCCCTGTGGTGAGCTTAGAGCGGTGAAACGGAGAATCTGTAACCTGCCTCGTGATAACTGCGGCGGACACTGCTGCAGCCTAGCAAGCCCTAGCATCACCGTCGCTCTAATGTCCGTCCTGACCTAGTAGGGAACCAGTCTGGAACTTGAGAGCAAGCGTTTGGCTTCGTCAATTGTTCGCGACGGTTATCGCCAGGTAACGTAGCCTCATGCATTTCTGTCCCTAGGACATGGTATATGTTACTGTAAATCAGTGTCGTGCGGAATAACGAAACACGAATAATGAATAACGAGGATTGACTCAATGAACTGACAAAAAAATGAAGGCAACGTGATAATATAGCGGCTAGCCTAGCTAGGAGGGCCCTCGGGAATGCGCAGTATTCAGTCGCCCGTTGCTCGGTTCGCCCCGCCCGAATGACCTCGGAAGAAAACTGTCGAAAGGTGGCGTGGTGAGCACTGTATATCGTCGAAACCTGATTTCGTTTTCGCCCCGTCCAGATTCTGGTTATGAAATTCATAATTTCGGGTTCGCGACATGAAGACGTCGCAAAACCCATAACGCATTTCGCGAAGTGCCACGAAAAATGTCACCACATTGAGTTCCGAACAGTTTCCTGGTTCGCATTGGTAAATGTTTCACGCCCTATGTATTTACCTGCGTGACAGTTCAAACAGAGTCTTGGCGTTGCGCCTGGGAGTAGGAAGTGACAGCACTGCACGAAATCTTCTTCTGCACGATATCGTGTTTCCGTCTCTTGCACGATATTGTCCGTCAAGGCTAGACCTATTTTTGTACAGTGCGGCATTTAGTTCCAGTTTTGGAGCGCTATCCCTACTATAGGCCGTCCTTTATGAAGCTCCGGCGAGGATACCGAGCATATCTGCTCTGGACAGCAAGTGCTACTTTAGTGAGCACCTCACGGTACACCCTATCCACTCTAGAGCGGTGTTTTACCGAGGCGCGCATCCCGCTCGATCGACCCGCCACTCGCCTACTCGGATGACCGTCGCCGTCGGCGTTTCCTCGCCACAAATTGAGCAGTCCGTTGAACGGCCTAGCACCTAGGCCATCCATTCCCCACCCACCCCACATCCCAGAACAATCTGTTCGGAAGTCCTACCATTTCCAAGTTACTACCAGCGCAAGTTTCTTGTCTAGTAGGGTACCTGCGGTTACCCTTGGCAAAAGTCACATTCGTTGTGACCTCGAGGTTACCCACGAAGGCCTTTTACGTGTTGCATACGAAACTCTCGTGACCCCATTTGACCCCCAACATGCTGGAACGAATCGTACGCAAGCCGCGTCCGCGATGCGAATGTCATCCCATCCCAAGCTCTCAGCGTGAGGCTGAAGGGACCGAGTATATCATCTGCCAGACGCCAGACCTAAGCGTTTGAGCTTAATTTCAAAATCGTCATTTTTTCGCCCGTCTCTACTACCATGGCGCGGCGCACGGCACCGCTCTTCTCCCTCTTGCTCTGTAAGCACTACGAAGTACTAATTTCCTGCTCTTTCAGTGCTTGTGCCAACTATAGTAATGGCAGTGGTGTTGACTCCTCATGATGCGTCGGTTCCCGCGTCTGGCGTTGTGTCAAATGGTCCTGCCGCCCCTCATGGTGTTCCCTCCTGCGCTGCCGCCGTGCCTGGCAGGTGCGGCGTTCGTCACCGCCGCCGCGGCATCAATCTTCCCGCCATTCCCCGTTCGCGACCGCAGCGTTCCAATCGCGGCGGCGTCTGCCGCTAAGGCAAAGAAAGAGAAGGCAATAAGTAAGGCTCTGCTCTATGATTTGCTGCTTACTTTGTGCCTTACACGCTGCACCGCGGTGTTGCCAGTGGTAGAAGCAGCAGGTGCACTAGAATGTGACCACCTGAGATCATGGCGAATGAGATCAGAGCTAATGAGCTTCATGTTTTCGTCGCTGCCAGTGTGTTGGATTGCTGCGTGTGTTGGATTGCTGCGTTCCATCGCCCCCATCGCCCCCATCTGATCGCGACTACCAGTAGGAGCCGTGCCGCTCTGTCATCACTGGGAGGCATCATGCAATGCGCTTCATTCAGTGGTGCTACCAGCATATCTACCTAACCAGTTGTCCTTCCACGTCCCTCCCCCTCCTTTCCATTCCCACTATTAGTGAAGTACGTTTGGAAGATGCATCCTGTTAAGATCAAAGGAAAAGTGGTCGGGGGCAAAAAGGGGCGTTTGCAAAACTCGTTGTATCAGGGTTGAGGTGCGTCCCTGGACATCTATACTTCAATTTGCCTGTTAAAGCCCGTCTCACTCTCAGTACTGTCGAAGTTGTGTTTGCTCAACCACTACAATTTTGCCACAATAGGAAGGGAGGATATGAAGGGAGAGGGTGGGTTGGTTGAGTTGGAGGTGAGATTTTTGGGCTAAAAGTGGGAGAATTTTATGTTACTCAATTCTCCATAGGCGCTGAGTGTCCTTCCAGCACTACCATTCCTCCCCCTTTTTCTCGCACCACCTTCCCCTTTCCCCCTTCCCAAACCCTTCCCCCTCACAACCACCCCCCCCGCCCCCCCCCCCCCCACGCCACCACCACCATCCCTTTCTCGATTCCCTCGTCACGCCCCGCTACACCACTGAGTCAAATCAAAGGTTATATCGAGGCGCAGGGGATTCCCTTCAACCTTGTGTAAGCCGCGACGTTAAATTCTCCACCACCACCCCAACCCCTTCTCCCCAACATTGCCTTCTCCGCCCCTCCCCACTCCCCCTCCCCCCACCCCGCGAGCTTGCTCCCCATCCCCTTCCCTTATTTCAACCCCAACCCGCCCACACCTTTCTCTCCCCTGTTCTCCTCGCTACCATCCCCTTCCATTTTATGTCGTGTTGGCAGGTACTCAGCAACATCGTACGAGGTCCAGGTTCAGTGCATCGTGTTGAACGTCAAATCTGGTGGAGTGGCTCCTACCATTTCCGTCGATAGCCCTTCCTGTTCTAAATCCTCTACAGATACTGTCGACTATCCTTATACCAACACCACGACTGCCAAGCAAGGTCGGCGCAAGCGCTACAGCTTCAAGTACTCGAGGAAACAAGGGCCTGTGACTTCGGAGGCTGATCTTCGTACTGGATTTACAGCATCGGTGGGTTTTTTTGGCAAATACATTAGGCTGTATCATCCCAACTACCCTAATGCACTCTGTGGGAAGATGAAGAAGGTGAAGTAATAGTTGGTCACTTTGGCGTGCTCTGGTTGGCTCTGAGGGTGCAAGTGTTGTCGAGATAGTTAGGCAAGGTTGTTTTGACTATCGAGAGAAATTGGTACCGTAAACGCCCGGATATAAGACAGTGTTGAATAGTAGACAGGGGTTGTCTACTATACGGGTGTCTCTTATAAACAGGCTAGCCTTTTTATACGACACCTATTTGTGTGTACGAGATAAGACATATATGTCTTATAATCGAAACTTCAATATATTATAGCGAAAGTTGAAATAACGCGTACATTTTTGGGTTGCGGAGCAACCTATTGTAATCTATCTGAATTGATTTTTTTTTTCGATTTTTTTTTTTTAAATTAGTTAAAAATGAATTTCGAGAAAAAAACTTATTTAAGGGTTTAAAACTCACCCACCAGTAATTTAAATTGTATCTTGCTGCTAGTACTGATGTTTTGTTTGTTTTAGATTCCAAGTGAAATTCTATAATTTTTGCAAAAAAACGAAAATTGAGAAATGAAATGAGCGAGCAAACGATCATTGCGTTTCCATTTCGTTAGAATATTCGGAAAAAAAATATTCATTGAGCGGATCAATGAATATATCGTACCCTATGGTGAAAAAAAAATAGAATATGCGTCACGACTCAGAAATTCAAAATGTATACTACCGCTTCCCCAGCCTAGCATGGGGGGGGAAGTCAATAGTATATACGTTGAATTAGCAAGCTATGACATGAAGCAATGCAATCTGCAAATTTCAAAGAAGGCTCTATACCAATCAAGTCCAGCTCAAAATGGCTTCACTTTGATAGTGATACACCACTGAACCTTCTGTGACAATGATCAGCAAGAACCCTCTTTGAAACAAGCAGAAAGCATTACTAATGCAATGAAAAGCAGCACGTGACCAACATTAATAAAGCAAATAATGCAAACAATTACACAAACACTATGTATGCATAAAAAAAGAATCCAAATGCACTGAGTTGTACAAGACACTCCCACCTTTGGATAACGATCTGTTATCAGAAAACATGACAAAACACAGAACCAACAGGCACAGAGAAAGGACAAGAAAAAATCTATATAAAGGAAATGAAATGAAATATGTGATATTTTCAACATTTGCTCAATTAACAAATTGCATACTTGCAAATGAGAAATGCACAAATAAACGTAGGAAAAAGGAAGGTTAGTAGGAAAAAAGGATAGGAACGATGAGAGCAAGCAAGGAGATAAAAACAAATGTAAGCAGAGACATAAAAAGGCACAAACAACTAGAATAAAACAATCAACTGAATAAGAGGTGAAGCGAGGGGGAAAGGACGGAGGGAAGGAAGATGGTGAAGACTTAAGTGCATCGGAAATAGAGGATATCAATATCAGAATCTATTATACTTCAAAAATTAAATAACTAAACTGAAGGGGAAACCAAGTACAAGATGAAATATGGTACACAAGTCGGCAATGAAGCAAATTAGGACAAGAAAAGAAAACCAGTGAGTGAAAAGAAGCGCGAGGGAACGGAAACAGGAAGAAATGGAGAAGTGGCAGATTGAGGGACTAAAGAAAAGAAGAAACAAGGACTAGGAACAAAAATGACAAGGACAAAAGTTAACAGTCAAAGATACGAGATGACGCAAGAGAGCAACAAAGAATAACAAATAGAAACTAAGATTCAAGGAGATGTTGGAACGAAAGCATAGGAGACAAAGAAAGATTGAGAACGAATAGAACGATGGAAATCAAGAAACATCGTATGAAAGGAAACGGAGGTGTGTATCAAGAATAAAACTGAAAGATTAAATACCAAGTAAGACGAATGGAAATCAAAATATAGGAGAAATGGAAGGAAACAGATGATGGGTTGAAGTGGAGAGAATTCAGAGAGAAAAGGAGAGCCAAGAGGTGGTGGATAACCTAGGAAGATAGAGAGGATTGAAATCAGAAATGACCGTAGGGAGTGACGGTAGGGAATCTAAACTAAGAAAACATTTTCAGCCAACGTAAGTTAATAGGCCGAAATAGGCAATAGCTGCTAACACGACGGTACGCTAGACAACTACCGACCGTACTATTTAAGGAGTTGGTCGTCGGCACAAGCAAAGTTACCTATTTAAGGTGAGCTGGCGTCTGTAGGGGTGGAAGGAAGTGGAGTTGGCTCCCCCCTCACCAGAACGAGAAAAACAAGGAGGGAGGTTTGAAACCCTAGCTGTGACCAGATATTTGAAAACAATTATGTATTTAACAGCACCTAATGAACATGTCTGTTTGGCTTAGCGACTTAGAACACGTGGTAACGGAAGGCTGCAGGTTCGAATCTCGTTAACGTCGAGATAAATTGATTCCTGTTAAACCTCTTCAGACAACACTCGATTTTGTACAGTTTTGTTAACAACACCCTAGTGTACAAATTTGTGAACAAACCCCAGTGTACAGATTTGTAAATACCCTCTATATATATTTTACACAATGCCATGTGGATTTGTGAAAGTACAACTAGAAAAACAACCGAACATATTACGTATAAAATTTAATACCAGGCGGACCAAAAAAAACGTTGGCTTTGACCAAACATTAAATTCAATTTCAAAACCTAACTTAACCATTTTTTGTTATCCCAAATTATAGCTCCGCAACCCTCAGACGATTTCGTCGACTCTTGTTACCCTTGCGAAGCGCGAATTCTTCCACGCGCTGACCCAGGACCTACCAAATTTTAACGGAATACTAGCGTGAGAATGGTGCATTGAATGAAACAGTTGGGTACAAGTAGCTAACCCTAGTTGGGGTTGTACCCCATACTGGCTACCCCACTACAGCCTACCAACATATAACAGTTTAACAAATCTGCCACTGCAGGTGTTCTCCACGACGTGGCGTCCCGGGCAGTGGTTGCCGAAGTGGCACCTTCGCAACATCCACACTCATTATGAGGAACTCTTTTTCAAGAAGTACGGAAAATATTTCTAAGCAGTTTAGAAAGTTTCCATTTATAAGACTTATAAGACACCCTAAACCATCCCGTTTACAAGATAACTCAAGCATTTTTGCCCGTGTACGAGATAAGACATATATGTCTTATATCCGGGCGATGACAGTACAAGTAGAACCCTAAAGTGTTTGTTAAACTGTATTATGCTTGTAGGCTGTAGTGGGGTAGCCAATATGGGGTACAACCCCAACTAGGGTTTCATATTTGTACCCAAACTTCTGTTAGTTCATTCATTCTTGCCTAGTGATTCTGATATGGTATTCAGAGCAGGAGGTCCCTAGGACCTACCGATCGTTTTTAGGGCCCACCACCGCTCGCATGCGGTTACCACGCTACCCCGTTCCCTAGCCTCGTAGCGCCCTCGTGCGCCCTCGTTAGCGCCCTCGCGCGCACCCTCGTTAGCGCCCTCGCGCGCACCCACGTCAGCGCCCTCGCGCGCCCCTTCGTTAGCGCCCTCGCGCGCCCCTTTGCTAGCGCCCTCGCGCGCCCCTTGCAAGCGCCCTCGCGCGCCTCTCACTAGCGCCCTCGCGCGCCCCTCGCCGAGCCGCCCGCTCGCAGCCCGCCCGCCCGCTCGCTGCCCGCTTCGCGGCCCGCTCGCTACGCAGCCCGCCCGCCCGCTCGCTGCCCGCTTCGCGGCCCGCCCGCTTCGCAGCCCGCTCGCTCGCTGCCCGCTTCGCGGCCCGCCCGCTTCGCAGCCCGCTCGCTCGCTGCCCGCTTCGCGGCCCGCCACTTCGCAGCCCGCCCGCCCGCTCGCTGCCCGCTTCGCGGCCCGCCCGCCTCGCAGCCCGCTCGCCCCGCTGCCCGCTTC